ATAACAACACGTACACGGTACAACATTGCCGTAGAGCGGTTTTCGTATGTGGGAAACGTATGGTACTGTATAACAACACGTACACGGTACAACATGCCGTAGAGCGGTTTTCGTATGTGGGAAACGTAAGGTACTGTCTAACAACACGTACACGGTACAACATGCCGTAGAGCGGTTTTCGTANACAACATGCCGTAGAGCGGTTTTCGTATGTGGGAAACGTAAGGTACTGTCTAACAACACGTACACGGTACAACATGCCGTAGAGCGGTTTTCGTACAAGTGGGAAACGTATGGTACTGTATAACAACACGTACACGGTACAACATACCGTAGAGCGGTTTTCGTACAAGTGGGAAACGTATGGTACTGTCTAGCAACACGTACACGGTACAACATGCCGTAGAGCGGTTTTCGTACAAGTGGGAAACGTATGGTACAGTATAACAACACGTGCACGGTACAACATGCCGTAGAGCGGTTTTCGTTTAAGTGGGAAACGTATGGTACTGTATAACAACACGTACACGGTAAGACATGCCGTAGAGCGGTTTTCGTATGTGGGAAACGTATGGTACTGTATAACAACACGTACACGGTACAGCGTTGCCGTAGAGCGGTTTTCGTATAAGTGGGAAACGTATGGTACTGTATAACAACACGTACACGGTACAACATTGCCGTAGAGCGGTTTTCGTATGTGGGAAACGTATGGTTCTGTATAACAACACGTACACGGTACAACATGCCGTAGAGCGGTTTTCGTATAAGTGGGAAACATACGATACAGACAAGAGAAAATGGTACGTACTAACATAGAGAGTAGAACTAAAGTAGACAGTACAACATGTCGTAGAGAGGTTTGATACGGTACTGTGTAACATCAAGTACACGGTACAACATGCCGTAGAGTGTAGGTACATGGTAACGGTAGGCTGTAGATTGGTATTTGTATGAGTATGAATGATCATAGTGAATCATATGGTACTATCTAAAAGCCGGTACACAGTACAATATGCTGTAGAACAACATGTATTAGAGAGTAGGTACACGGTAACGGTACGCTGTAGATTTGTTATCATACGGTACTGTCTAAGGCCGGTACACTATGCCGGTATAATATGCTGTTGAAGCCCCTTATGCTGGACAGAAGAATATACACTCATCACACCCAATTCGTGTTACCTTGGTGCCGGATTGTGAAGGTCTAAACAGACTTATCATCTGCTTTAGTTCTGACGCATTGACAGAAAATGAGCCCAGCTCTTCCAACACCTTGATCAGGGCATCTAGACAGTCAGTCAGTCAGACAGACAGACAGACAAGCAGGCAGACAGAAAAACAGAAAGAAAATGATTTGTATTCATTTAGTATAATGATTAACGGACCTTTATCACGCAGTCAAGTGGACAGGAACAATATATTTCCCCCTTCGTGGCCTCGCATTCAAGCGTTTCAGGACGAGGTTACGCGTGGTTAAACAAGGGTGGCACTAAATAGCAAAAACTATGCTAATAAATCTGTGGCCTTCTAAAAATGCTTGACATGAATAATTGATCTGTGGGACAAAACAATAGGCCATCTTTTCTTATTCCCTCGGGTGTTGTAGTCGCTCAGATCGTGTAGAATCAAGATGTTTATTTCAAGCCACTGTTATAACTACTCAAGTACAATAAGTAGTGTCTATGATTATATAATGATAACATTGGGATCATATAACATTACGTCATATATTACATCTCCCTTTTCCTAAATAAACATTCAAATAATAAACCGGAACAACGACTAAACTATGCCAATATATAAATGATAAAACAGTCTTTGATCAAATCCATGGGTTCTAGGTTATTAATCAGTCTATGTAGCATATTTTGGGTTGGGTTTAATTAACCGCCCAAAACTGCTCAT